TGACAAGAATGGACAGGATCAGGAATGAGGTCATTAGAGGGACAACACAGACAGGAAGGTTTGGAGAAAAGGCTAGAGAAGCCAGATTGAGATGGTTTGGACATGTGCAGAGGAGGGACAGTGGATACTTTGGTAGAAGAATGTTAGAGATGGAGCTACCAGGTAGGAGAAAAAGAGGAAGGCCAAAGAGGAGATATATGGATGTAGTGAGGGAGGACATGCAAATAGTTGTAGTCAGAGTAGAAGATGCAGAGAACAGGGAGAGATGGAAATCAATGATTCGCTGTGGCAACCCCTGAAAAAGGGACAAAGCTGAAAGAAAAAGAAGGAGGATCAAAGAAAACCCATCTAGTTTTCCAGCTTAGCTATATTTGTTCAACTTAATCTAATTAAGAGAAGACCTACAACACATTTTTTATAGATGAAAAACAGCAAGTAAAACAATGGGCCCTGTTCATTTTAATTACACTTTAGGATGCAAAGTCATTTGGTGTTGCTGTATCAAATTCTTGAGCAGCTCAATACGGAAGTGTATTGCTACCACACTGAGAAAAAGAAAATTGGCTCAGTATCACGTAATTACGTGATAAGTTTTACATTATTTCGTGATAACTTTCACGTTATTTCGTGACAAGTATCACGTAATTACGTGATAAGTTTTACATTATTTCGTGATAACTTTCACGTTATTTCGTGACAAGTATCATGTAATTACGTGATAACTCGTACTTTGGGAGACAACGTATCCAGCTTGGATAGCTTGGATGCAGTTGATATGGTGGAGCTTGTATCCATGGAGCCTTCTGTGCCCATCCAGTTGATCAATAAGGAACGACGCCACCTCAAGACGGTCGAATTCGTTCTTTCTTCGGTACAACCCCATGCGTTTTAAAATCCTTCTGAGAGCACGCATACTAATATAAATCTCATCCACTGAGCCCAATAATTGCTAAATCTCACCAAGCCTCAAGCCAAGCATATAGTACAACTCTGCTGAATCGTGTTAACGAGCCATATTCTTGTCTCACAGGGGGGCTTTCATTCATCATTTCTATCAATTCAATTTTATTTATAGAGCGCATTTCGTGCACAAAGCAAACTCAATGTGCTTAACAGTCATCACGTAATGAAATAAGTGAAAATTATCACGAAATGCACTGGTCCCTCTCCTATCGCGGTAGTTGCAGTTCAAGACCCACCGCGAAATGGGAAAAGTAAAGTCGAGATAGTTATTATATGATTTACGTATATATTTACCCTTCACAAACCTCCCCACGCTG